ATATTCATTTACTGCAAAAACATATCAAACAGTGCAATAATTAAAGTGGGAATATTAATTGGGTAGTTTAATTTTTGATTATGAAGTGCTTATTTACGCATAATATTTGATGGATATGAGGATAATTGACTATATTACAGATTAATAAACTGACATGGTATTATCGTTATTTTATATTGTTCATTCACAGTTATTGTTTCAAAATGATGAATGAATGCGATTAACTTGATAGTGGTAATTTTTGTTCAATTTTAATTAAAATCAGAGATATATTATTAACGAATTTCGATACGCAGAGCTAAAAAATAATTATTAGATGAGTTGGTAGATGGACAGTAAGTAGATAGGTGAAAGTAGATGAACAGGTGAGTAGATTAGATGAGCAGATTAATAAATAGATAAATAGATAGATAGATATATGCATAGATAGATAGATAGATAGATAGATAAAGGAATGGATAAATGAACGGATAGACAGATAGTAGATAGATAGATAGACAGGTGGATGGATAGGTGTTTGTTAAGAAGAAGGAAGGGAAGGTGGACTTTGGCGCGTCAATTTATGCAGACAAATTTGCAATAGAGTGTGTAGAGAGGAGAACGAGAGATAGGAGAAAGAGGGCGAGGGGCATTTATGGGACTGCTTCCCGTGCCTCTTTTCTTGTCACTCTTTCTTTCAAACTCTTTACTGTTCTCGCAGAGACACACAGAAAGAGAGAACGAAGAGTGTGTGTGCAGTTGCGTTGCATTGCACACGCCACGCACTACCCATTCGATTTCGATTTTTCAATTGAAGTGGAACCTTTCCTTTCTTACAGCTATTATTATTATTATCATTATCATTATTGTTATTGTTATTATTATTATTATTATTATTGTTATGACTATTATTGTTAATATTTATATTATTATTAATAATAATGTTATTATTACTATAACTGTTATTACTATTATTTGTATTTTGGTGCTATTAATGACAATTATATTACCATCATTAATTATTTGCACTATTACTAGTATTTTCATTATTAATGCCATCAGTTTGTAATTGTTATCACAAATACTACATTTATTATCATAGTTACGAACGTAATTGCTTGTTTTGTGATTTAAAATTGTCATGATTAACGCTTGCGTTGTTAACCAAGGTTGAAAGTTAACAGTATGGTTATCATTATCATTTTGCAAAACTTTTTTGATTATTATGATTATTATTACTATTACTGTTGTCAATTACATATTATATTAGCAGTGCAATAATTTGTATATGTTCCAGAAAATATTATTTTTACTGCTTTGCAAGACTAAGTCGTCTTCTGTTTTTTGTTATTAAAACGAAAGAATTCACATCATATAATGGGTATTTATGGCAAATGAATGTTAACTGAAAATTTATTGAAAACTGAACACAGTGCAAAAACCAATCAATATGGGTATGGAAATTGGGTGCATATTTGCATTTATTGTTTGTTTGGTTAGTTGTCGAAAAGGTCATAGTATCTCTAACTCAGAATGCAAGAGTCTCGACTTAATCGTTTGTCTTTGTGTCAAAGGTAATTTAGGTAGTGCCAGATTAAATACACAACATAGTAATCATTCTAAATAAGTTAATGCTTTCCCGCAGTTCTACGCTTATTCCCTACATATCGTGACTTAGCGTACACATTACAGTTTTATGCTTTCAAAATCTCATTGCAATCTGCCTTTTCTTCTTCGCTATTCTACTACTATTGCTGCTATTCCCATTTACTTTTTAATCTTTCATATATGCAATATTGCATCTTTGCTTAATTTTTTGCGTCTAAGATATTCAGTGTTGTATGAGAGAGAATATTCATAGGTCATATGCATTCTTTTAATCGTTATGGAATTGATTTGTTAATATTTTTATTAAGAAGTCAATGTTCTGTTTTTTCTCTTTTTCGGAGGAACCAGCTTTACATTTTGTATCATTTTCAGTAGCATAATAAATGTTACATTTATATCGATGTTGATTTGCATAATTGTATAGCACTTACATTTTATGGTACTAATTATTATGTGGTACCAAAAATTCATTCAGTTGGCTAAGTTATTAATGTGGCTAAATATGGCAGCGTATATTTTTTTTCAATTTTCTGATTATCTCAAATTGCACATTATTTTTTTAGCACGACTAATCAGCTTCTTTGAAAGAAGCTTCTGTTACCAAATTTTATTTATCTTCTTCACTTAATTTATTTTCTGATGACGTACATCGCTTAACATTTACAATACTCACGTACTCTTGAAGGAATTGATTAGTTAATTAATTATTAATTAGTTAATTAATTGATTAATGGCTACCGCCACGACAGCACTGGTACGAACACCTAATAATAGCGGAAGAACAATTATGATGATGCCGGCGGCTGGTGCTGCTATTGCAACGGTTAGTTTTTGTAAGATTTCAACGATGAAATTGAGAATGTGATGTGGCAAACTTTTTAATGGCTACTCCAAGTTCGCTTACGAATTACCATCTATTAATAGATTTTCTGTTCTGTGATTAACTAGACTTAAGCTGGAAAGCTCTTCAATAAGAACAGTTTGCAGGGGTAATATTAATATGTTAATCTTATGCGAAACTTTTATAAAGTTTGCTAGTGCTGGAAAGTTTGGAAAAACTAGTTTTGATCGGTTACAGTAGCCATAAGTTATTTTGAATGAGAATACCTGTGAATAGTCGTAGTGAGGTATAAAACAGTTATTAAAATTTGAGTTATAATTGTTTGAAACATGTGTATAAGAGATTAAGGATTATACAAAGTATGGAAATATGCATTCATTAACAAATGACATCCATCATTTTCTATCTATTAAAAGCAAAACTGAACCGATATTGGCGGCAAGCAATGGTTTTTGTTTCATTTAACAAAAAAGTACGAAGAAAGATTTAAGTATGAATTCTGGAAAGCTATCGAAATAATAAAGATATATATGGATTAAAGGAAGGACATATATACGCGCATGCATTACTATAGCAACCAAACGAATGAACTTTGATTCTGTATAATTGGCCAAAAAACACATTTAAGCTTAACACATATTCCGTTTATATTTTGCGAACGTTTTCTTATGTTCATTCTTTGGATTGTGTTTCCGAGTTATGTGTTTTACAAACGGTCAGAGTGTCTTAAATTTATTCACAGTTAGTGTTAAGGTAAATGAAAGTAATATGTCTGGCTTTCAAGGATGCAAATGTGGATGAGGTGGAATGTTATTTGTCTTGGGTTTTGAAAATTATACGCTGATTAAATTCCAGTAAATTTACCGTATGTACTTTTACATCGTTAATACCATTACTTTTACGAATTACCATCCAAAAATATGAAAGAAATGAGGCTATTACAGTCAGAAGGTGAAAATTTCTGTTCATATTAATACAAATATTTTGTGTAGTAGGATTTCTCTAAATTTCAGAGTTGTGCAAATCAACCGCAACAAGCTTCACTCTATCCTTCTCAGCAAAATTCACCTTATTTGTCTCAACCAGGCATTGCCATAACTTCAGCTAACGGACGACTATTTTCTAATCATTCGTGTGGTATTTTTTGCAGTAGTACCCTTTTCTAAATTTCCATGTTATTCGGTTGTATCGTTTCATTATGAAACATTTTTTATTGTCCATGATATAGACTCCACTTTAGCATTATGTAAATTAGAACTGTGTGATTTTTATGCAAATTTCTTTCAATGATTTATGTAGGCGAGTATTTATATTACTGATATTAAACTTGCAGGCTCAACTTCTGCCAATTTTTATTCACAACAAGCGCAATCAAACTATCCGTTGCAGCATCAACAGCAGCACCAACAACAACGGTCATTTTATCAAAATTTAACGCCTGAACCTCAGGCAACCACAGCTAATAGTCTTGCAGCTCAAGCAATGAGTTGTGAAGCAATTGGCTCAACATCGTCTTCTACAATATCTAGCGATAATGGAGCAGCTTCAGCTTTATCTGATTTGAGTAAGGAGATTTTTTATGTGCGAATTGACCTTATGTATTTCTTGAAGTTTAGTTTCTCGCTGTTTTGGAAAATTTCTGATTACTCATGTAAAGCATTGATTTTGAAAGCCTAGAGTTTATACTATATATTATGGATTTTGATATTAGTTTTAATGCTAGCCTCTCTATTTATGTATACTATTATATAATGTAGAGCTAGCTGTAATTTTATTTGAAATTCAAGATTCATGTTGTAGGTTTCGCTCGCTGTTTGCAGGACAAAAGTAACTGAAAGAATTTGTGAAATGACCGTATGAAGTGTTTTCCAGATTCACAATCTTTATCAGTTCGACGGCCTTCTAGTTGCAGCAGTAGAAGTAGGCCATCTTCTGCTTGTTCCTCAGTTGCGAATGTACAGATGTCAATCACTAGTACCACAGTTAGTTCTACTACTACCAGTATTGCTATGCCTGTTGCAAACATGAATGGTTTGGCAAACACTCTGAATGCAAGAATCACTGCTTCACCTGTAACTCCTAATAATACTGGTTAGTTTGTTAATTTGGTGCACTAGAAAGTTTCTGTATGATTTAATAGAAACATAAGACGAGCGGAATGCTTATCAAGTGTTGACGGATTTTTCATCTTGTAAGTTATTGATAATGGCGAATACATAAATGGTAACTGTTTAACTTATTTGAGAGTCTTCCATTTCATCTTTTTAATAGTCATTTCTCACAAAAAAAAAGATGAATATTCAATTTAGATGTTCTGATAATTCGCGATCCATTTGAAGAGGATGAATTTTCTTCTGCTCGCTGTAGCTCCACAGTTACTCAAATAATGTTCAATCAACGGCCACCACAGTATATCAATACAGGCAATCCTTTAGACTCTGGTGGACAATTGGAATTACCTCGGTTAGTGTGCTATTAAAGCTATACGTTATACTGCCCTTGTTTTTTAAAAAAATAAAAAAAGTAAATTTGTGATATTCAAACCTCGTCATAAACAAGGGTTAATAGTTGTATAATCCAGATTTTATAATGTTTCTGTCAGATTAAAAATTTAAGAAAAGGCTAACATGCACACTTTTTTAGTCATCTCAGAGTTCCATATCCTGAGTCAGCTTATCGAGCATGTGCTGCTGCAAACAAAAATTTAGCTACTTACCGGAACGGTGCACCATTACCTCCCTTCATGCTACCGTATCCAGCTTGTCCAGGACCTAGACCTGCTTCTTTATTTGCTCCCAGTATTGTTCCTATAGATAATTCCTTAATATATGCAAATTCGCAACAACGGCAGCAGCAGCAACAGCTTCCCGGAAATGCAACTAATTTTGGGATATTTCGAAATAGCAAACCTCAAGCCAGCTCTTCACCTGGTTTGAGAACAGATTTTGTGTTTTGAATATTGCAGTTCACTAACATTGTTTTTAAGTTCATTATGTGCATTTTCATTCCATATTAAAAATATTAGTTTTATGATTTTTTTGACGCATGCTTTCTTATACTTCTTTTTAATATTTTGTTAGCTTTACAGGTTGTCCATCACTTTCAATGCCTAATGTGCCTGCAGGTACACCGACTCCAACTCACGGTTTTGGAAATCCATATTGCATTCAAGCACCCACGCCGACACATATGATGGGACCACCTGGTAAATTTGCTAAGTTTTATTTGCGTTGACTTGAGTAATTCCCTAGGAGTAAAGATTTGACACTGCGAAAATATTTTAAAATTCTAGCTGATAAAAAAAAATTAGATCGTGAAGAAGAAAATAGAGAGTTCAGTTTCCTTATATTTGAGTACCATTTGTCTTTTAATAAGTAATTTTTTGGTACAGCTTGAAGATGCATGAAAAGATATACGAATGGAAGGAATAAAAAATCATACAAGGTTACTGTATTTGTAGACTGCCGTAGCGTCTATGAAATTTGTACGTGTTATTTTTTTTCCTTTTTTTCAGGATGCATTCAGCGTCCTGAATACCTTTCAAGTGCCTCAGGACCATATTGCATATCGGGTGGAGCGGGTGGGCAGCCTTATTTTGGGAATCAACCGGTCGCAAGACCTGAGCCTGGGACTGCAAACATGATACCTATAAATGGCGGGCTGCCTTCGATGAATCTCATGACTATGGTAAATATGAATAATGAACGTATGGGGCCTGCAATGGGTATGATGGGTGCAGGGCAGCAACCAAATACTGGCTCTGCGACAGCGAAAAAAGGAAATGCTAAGAGGTAGTTTCACATGAGGTATTTCGGAACTGAATTTTTGGAATGAGTTCTTAAAATCTGAATAAAATCAGTTAATAAAAACTTATGCAGATCTAAAGCTAGCAAATCATTCGGAGGGATGCCAAATCTTACCAATGATGAGCAGCAGTTGTTAGCAGCGAGACGAAAGCAACAACCATTGGTTCAAACTGGACAGCAACAGCAGCAACAACAACAACAAAAGCAGCAACAACAGCCGATGATGTCGGGAATGATGTTACCTATGCCAGTATCTTCACAAGACTTTTACATGTCTCAGAATGTTTGTGGCAACTCTTCTGGGATGTTATCTCTCGTACAGCCACCTACACCACAGCAGCAATCTGTTTTGCCACTATCAACAGGCGCACCCACCGGTGCTGGCACAGGAGGAATGGGACAGTTCGATCATTTTGATGGTAGATTTTTGTTCTTTAGTACTTATTTGATTGCATTTATTTACTGGAACTAAGCTGACTACTTAGAGCAAATTCAAACAAGTTTATTCAAAGTATTATGCAGTATGATTTCATGATATTTGTTTCCTTTATCAATTGTTAACATGTATTCATCATCCGAACCAGTTGTGTTAGAAGTTTTCTATTCAAATTTATCTGTGTGTTAGGAGGCATATTAGTTCACTTAATATCATTCAGTTATTTATAGCTCGGCCTTCGACAAGTCTTAATTGTACTCCAATGCCTAATTCTTGTCCATCAATGGTACAAGCTGTGAGTGGAGCAGGTTCATATTAGCTTTTTTTAGTTCTAAATTTCGTCATTTTTTGTTTCGGTAATATTCTTTGTATATATTATCAGTTTACTTGCAATTTTTTTGAGGCACCCCTCCTCAACAGCAGCAATCAACATCGCAAATGATAGTAAATTCTATGATGATGACTCGAGGTTATGGTACTTTCGAGCAAAATGGTTTTGTTGATGGGTTTCAGGTTTCCAAATTTTTGAAGCTATATTTTGGTATAATACTCTTGAGCTTGGGCATCGGAAACTCGTGATCATTAGAAGAATAAAAATTATGAACATCATTTTCTGCATTGATTTATAGAGATTATTTGTTGTATAGAATAATTATGCTAGACTGTATTTGACTACTTTACTTTGTGTACAAAGTCATTTTATTCTCAAGAAACCCTATATCATGAATTTAAAAGAAAACATTAAGGTGACGAAACTACATATTTCTTTAGTGTTGCTTACAATTCTCACTTCTAACTCGAACTTGCTTCCAAAATTAATGATATATAGTTTTCTATGTTTCATTTTATTTGTTCTTACAATGTTCTCTCCGTCACTAGAAACATTAAATTTCTTTATAATATCCGTAACTTCTCAAAAAATTAAGTTTCAAGATTTTAACTGTATTAATAGCTCTGTTATCACTGTCGCTATGTCTTTAATGGAATCATATTTGCAACTCATATCAAATCAGTTTTCAGGCTCCGCAAAGCAACGGTAGCAGTGGTAGTGCAAGTAATAATAATATTCAAGGCAACAGTAATAATACTATTACTACCAGTGTTAGCGGCGATTCGTTTACTGTACTTAATGGTTCCTTGAATAATCGTAGTACCAATCATGGCAGTAAGCAACGTTGTGTGAGTTGCACTGAAGAAGTTAGGGTATGGGTATATTTTTGATTTTTAATCTCATCGTGCAGTTTTTAACTAAAGTTTATTCAATCGGATGCTGTTCATTGTTGTTACTCATATCTAGCAAATAATTTTTTTAAACAAAAGTTCTGGATGGATTGGCAACTGAGATTTTTCCTGTAGTCGTTTGATATCTCATTGTGAAGTTTACTGTTTGTGTAGGGGGAACGACCTGGTATTCAGTGTACTGCAAACGGAGAAGGCTGTCGACGATTTTTCCATCAGGTTGGAAATCAAAAATCTTGATGTTTTTGAAATAATCATTTAATATATTATCAGGACCAAAAAATTAGGTGACGCTTATTTTGTCAAATGTATTAATCGCCCAGAAAGTAATCTTAGTCGAAGTTGTTCGTGACTTGTAGTGAATGAACCTATTCACAGTCTTCAAGGTTGACTAGTTAGCACTCATTTTACATCAGCAATGTTGTTTTGCCATTTTCCCTACTACATTGTATGACATTTCTTTGGTAAATAAGGTTATTTATTTTAGGAATGTAGCGGTTTGTTGCCGGATGCATTTCGTGCCATCATTGCAGAGCCGCGCGCAGAATGGATTTGTCCAGACTGCTTGTGCCGTCAGCAAACACAAATTACGTTTGCATAGATTTATTTATGTTAATATTACTAGGGTTTTCTTTTTGTCAGTGGTATCGCAGTCAGTACATTAAAATATTAAGCTATGAAATTCGTAATATATGTATGGTTTTGTTTTTATATTTTCATAAGCTGAAACTCGTCAGATTTTTAATACATGTATTCATCTGATTATGGGTTTTCTTCAATGCTTTTTATGTTGATATGTTCCATTAGTAATATTTCTGTCTTCAAATTTTTATGTGATCAAAACATTTTTAAAGTGTTGCCATCAAACAAACATATACGTGGATCGTTAACTGGTCTCATAACTTCAAGACACTCATGAAACTTGTAAAGTATTTATTGACTCGTTTTTGTTGTGTCGTTTTTTTCTTCAGTAATGTAGCTTATTCTTTTACTGAGCAATGATAACCGATATGATAATAATAGGAGTGTTAACCGTCATTGTTTTGAGATTCATCTGGATTAATTGTTCGTACTGTGACTTGGCATCTTTTTGATTCTTGGTTAGGTGCTTTCCTAAAATATTTGTCCATAATTTGAGTCAAACATGTATCTTAATCTGGATTGACAACTGGTAGTGTCAGATGAAAACGAAAAATATTCAGTTATCTACTCAAGATTTGTTAATTTTCTATGAGATCTCAGAGAATTTTCTCAAGATTTGTTAATTTGCTTTCTGTATATTAATTTTAAGTTGTCATTTCAAGAATTACTAATTCTTATTAGGGTCTGTATGATGAAATCTTATGCCAACTTCTGCTGTATATTGCATATTGACTGAGTAATACTGGGTGATTGATGAGCAGCATCATGTAATACTTGCCTTTCCCGTCAAACGGTTCTTTCAGAAGATCTTTCCTGCTTGCATAATTTAAATTGAGAATTAAGTTGAGACTTTCCTTCTAGTAATAGTGATGATTGGATGGTATGTATATGTATTTCTTTTTTATGATGTACTATGCATTTTTTCATAAGAAAGTATAAACTTGCTGTTTCGTAAGCAGTTCTGTCACAAAAAGTAGTTACAATTTGCGCGTTCAAAAGACTGTCAATCATTGGACAAGTTAGTTGCTAATGAACTGCTTTACTTGCTGAGGTAGAGAATTGTGAGTGAGATTTGTTGATCTGGTGGTGAGGACTGACGGAATTAGTCAAGGGAATGAGGGTGTGTGCAGGAAGCAACACAGTTATTACTATTTTTCAATCTCTGGCTTGGTTAGCATCGTAGATTCACAGGGTCGGCAATTGTGTTGAAGATCTTATATGTGGGGTATTCGCTTCTCAAGGGCTTAAAGTTTATGCATGGTCGTGGGGAGTCATTATTAGTTTGTGCACTTGTTTTTCAGGCGCTACAATAGATAGATATTTTAGTTCGGAACTGGAATACCAGGAGTTATATATAAAGTCCTTATATTTAATTTCTAACGCATGTTCAGAACATTATTTCATTATGGAAGAGTACTTAATTATCAATTCTAGTATCATCAAGTATTATGGTATGAAATTCACAACAGAGCCATGCATGACTATCCTATGTACCATTGCCAGACCCCTATGTTTTCCTCACATTACGTACGTTATCTTGAGGTAGAGTGCTGTAATAGTGAATCCGGGCTATATAAATATCTAGAATATTCTCGGTTATATGACGTGTTGTTAATATGCTGAGAACGTATAGAATTGTACTTTCAACTGAAGCGTTCAGTTGTTGGTGGTTTGCGTTCTTGGCTGCCTAGCTTACTTGTGTACGCATATAATACGTAGACTAATCCGTACTCTCGGCATTTACTTTGGGTTATAAGGTAGGACACTCGTAGTCATATCGCTTATAGAATTTTATACGAAACTCGTTTGATAATTATCTAAATAGGTCTCGTACTTTCTGTTTCAAGTGATCTTTGTAGTTAGATTTATTGCAAGTTAAAATTGTTTTATTTCAGGTAATAATATCTTGGTGAGGGTGACCCATGGAATAAAAGATGGGTCGTGTTGGATTCTCTCACCATGGTTTGGGAAATGTGAGGTCTTGGATCCCAGCAGTAGCTGCTAGTTGCTAGCTGCTACATCGAATTCGATGTTATTATATACCTAGAGTGGGTATTACTATTGTTTTGTGGATGAGCTAGTGCGCAGTGTTGCTAGCAGCAGCATTCATACTCATAAGGAGCTTTGGCTGGTGAAGTTGATGATCGTGGTTATTTCTGCGTCGCATAAGATGTAAGCGAATAAAGAGAAGCAAAGTGGCTGTTGAAGTACAAATATTATTGAAGGAAGAAAGATTGGAAACAATTTAGTGGGCGAATGCGGACACTGCGATCAACATGAATATTAGAGGGAGTGTGTGATAATCCTTTGCAAGAAAGATGCAAGGGATTGATCATTTTTTTTGATTTGTTTATTATAAGTTTTCCAACTTTTATTTTTTCAACTTATTTGTACAGTGTACGTTAGGTAGTGTACACTGATGATTTTAATTGTAGTAGAATGTTAAAAATCATTCCACTTTTAACTAGTATTATTGAGTACTTTTATCATTTTTTGGAAAATTGTTTGCTAATATTGTTAATGATAATTGTTGTCAATTGATTTTATTGTATAGTTTAAGTTTTTTCTAAATTTATGTATATATATATATATATATATATATTGTGAAAACACTATATTGTATAT